GCAGCTAAAAAAAACAACAGTGAAACCAGGTGAGACACCAAATGGACAGAAAGTCCTGTTTTATACAAACAGCTCCTGTGAGGGACAAGCCTGAACTGAAAACAGTGCTTTTTATACCGAGGCCTACAGAGGGCGCACTTGTATCATATTATTGTTTCTTAATAAGTTAAATTAATTTTTAACACATTTTTGTTTTTCTTAAGGAATTACCAGAGATTTATAAAAAAAATGATTTTTTTAACGTTGAGAGGAATATTTTAAAACAATGCAGTATATTTTTGTTATAGAGTTGTTGTTTTTTTTTTATTATTGATTATTATTTATTTCTCTGTGGACAGGATTAAGTAACCATCATTGAAACTATAAATGATAGCTGCTTTGGCGCACAAGTCATAAAAAAGGAACTACTGTCTGAGAGTCAACAGACGTACGGTGTCTGAATGTTGATTAACAGAAATGTCTTTACTAACGGACGCAACTAACTTGTTAGCTTTGCCTAACAGATACGTCCGAGACTTCAAAACGCTGCAAAATGACGGTTTTTTTTTCATTTGTTTTCTTTGTTGGAGACGTTGACAAATTAAACAATGTGTGGAAAAACAAACGTGTCTAAAGGAGGTCCTGTGTTAGCTGACGGTGGACAAACTAAATACAGTACGTAGCTTCGGTGCTAGCTCAAGGCTACCATTGCTCTCTGATATTTTAGTGAACGTAGTTGGAATAAAACTTCACCACTAGATGATGCTACATCTCACACAGTGTGCCTTTCAATGAATATGCTTTAAAACAACATTTACATGATCATTGATTTATATAATGTCACTTACTGCTCGTTAATATTGAACGGGTTTCATAGGGTTTTCTGATGACTGCAGTGATTGGCCGCCCACGTCCCTAATACGGAACAAGAGGGAGAACGTAATGAATTAACGTTACAGCATGAACTCAACATATTAATTGAACGAAACTATTGTTATAGCACCACCTACAGGAAAAAGATGAACTCCACGTTCTCTAGTTACACACCACAACGCCCAAAACACCATAAAATCGAAGACGTTACTTTTAGGCATGTTTTACCAAAACCGCGCCGCTAGAGGGTGTTGTACGTTAACAATATACTGTAACTAGTGTGCATTTGTTGAAACGCAGAAACCCTGTCAAATCAAAATTATTATTATTATTATTATTATTATTCGTGTTATTGTGAATAATAATAATAAAAATAATAAATTATTTTCTAGAGTTGCTGGTGAATTCTCTCAGACAAATGGTGGAAAAAACAACATTTAAAGATCATCCTTTTTTATTCTGTGTGGTTCTGGACACAACAAACAGGTTTTCAATGAACAGGTTCCACATGGACTATGGATTTTTTTTTAATCCATTTTGACAGCACCTCTGTTTTTTTTGTTTGTTTGTCTCCGTTCTCTTTCTTCCTCTAGATTTCGTGGTGACTTGGTGCATGTTTGGTTCTGATAACACACTAACAATGGCTGGGTTAAAATAACCGGCCACTGGGAAAATACTGGCTCTTTTACTCTCAGTGGAATGCAGAGACATAAATAACATGGATTTAGACTCCACGGTGAGACTGGGTTTACTGAGGCTACAGCAAGCAGACGGTGTTTGGTCCTTCCTGAAAAATAGTATCTACTACAAAAATATCCATCGGGGAGACTTTAAGGAACAATGTATACAAAACAATACAAATGCTAATGGTGCAACTCACACTCGCACACATACACGACAAACACACTCAAAAATAATCACATCCAGATTAGCAGGAGTGGAACCACTTGGTATGGAACCTGGAACAGAAGTGGAAACCAAGTGTGGACGTGTTTTTCCTTTTGTGATGTTTGCCAAAATACCCTGCCCTCTTCCTCATCATCATCGCTGGACATTACTGCCGACTCTCTGCACACTGGTCTGAGTCGTTTGGTCGACGTGCTGAGTGACTCCTGCTCTCACTTCAATAGAAGCTTCACATCCTGAATGAGAGAACAGAAGAATACAGCAAAATTGTGTTGAAAGATTAAAAGAAACACACACAAAAAAACAAAAATCCCAGGTTTACCAATGTGTCTGACCCAGTGCCTTAAACATGATATAAATCTATCGGATCAACCAGAGAGAAAGAGACGGCCAAGACAAACCCATTTGTATGTGTGCATTTATACGGAGCAGGGATGGAAGAGCTGCCGAGCCAAAAACTCAGTCCAGACAAACCTGATTCATAAGTTCACTTGATTCGACTATTTGTTTCAGTGGGTGGAAGTCTGGGCCGAGGAGATAGAACGACAGGTCAGAAGGTTTTTTCCGTAAACTTAACGACACAGATCGTCGCTGGGGTCATCAATGTTTTTCAAATAAAAAAAAAACAACAGGATACTTGACAGGGAAAAAAAATTCCCCTCATTATCAACCGATGATGACAACAAATAGACTCAGGCTGTTCCACAGACATAAAAATCTCCACAATGTTTGAATTAAGAGCAGTTAAAAAAATGGCTGAGGCTGAGAGATCAGGATAGAAAGGATGAACTGAGCAGATCTGAGGAACAATATGAAGGTTTTAATCAAATTTACCAACACAATGACGATGATGATGATGATGATGATGATGATGATTTAACAATTTTGGTTGGACGTTTGGATTTCCCTTTCATGTGTTTCGCTAAGTTTATGTTGAATTTAAATAAAAACTTTTCTTGACATTTAGGCTTAAAAAAAACAAAACAAACTTCCACAGCTCTATTTGTATTTTAAACTGTTCTGTTTCTGAAGTCAGACTGTCATACCTGCTGTGTTGGCTGCTGGGAAACAGACCACTGGAGGTCTGAGGTTCACGTCTCAGCTCTGTGGACGAACCGAGCTGCTGCAGGTCAGAAAGTGACGGGTGGTCTGATCCAGCGGGGGCAGAACAGGGGTTTGAAACCTTCAAACAGATAAAAAGGTTACACTGCATGTACACACCATATACACAAGAAAGATGGGGCAACAGAAATACAGCTAATCTGCAGCAGATTATAGTAAATTATATTATGAAAGCAGTTTAATTACTTAGACTTTGTAATTTTTGGGGGGAAATTATTGTTATAATTGTTAGAGTTCTGCAAGAGTACATTTTTTGGATTCTATTGGGTGAGTCAGCTGTCAATCACAGACTATGATAGATCAGATAGATAGATGACGTGTGTTAATTAGCTTCATTAATTAGCTTCATTAACCAGACTATGATAGATCAGATAGATAGATAGATGACGTGTGTTAATAAGCTTCATTAATTAGCTTCATTAATCAGCGTCATTGTTCGCTCACTGCCTTTGCTGCAGGGCTGTGTTTCCCTGGATGCAGTGATGGAAGAGAGGTGTTTGAAGACAACAGACTGGGCTGATGACGACGGTCCATGGATGCAGAGGTTCTGGGCTGTAGCCCGGATGACGACGGCGTGGGGGGCTTCATGTTTCTGCCCAGACTGCTGGACTTGCCTTCTCTGCGCTGGTACTCGATGGGAGACTGAAGGGCTGCGACCCACAGGTTGAGATGTCATTCATCATTCACACTCACATCTGCAGCTTCACTGAGGAAACATTCAACTCTGGTACCATTCAGGAAGTTCCTCTGGGTCTCCAAGATCTGGACCACGTCACCGAGCCAAGCCTGACGTACTTCGGGCGACGACGTCTGCATGATAAAGCGTGTCAGGCTACGGTCATTTCCCCTGGAGGTCAGCACCAGGCAGCAAGGGTCGTCCGACTGCTCCTCCACGCCCAGACAGCTGACCTTCAGAGGTCACATGAGAGCCGTGTTAGGAACCGGGACTGGACCACAGTGAGCTCAGGGTGCGTTTGATTTACCTTGATGCTGTTTTTGAAAGTGTAACCCGGCAACAAGAAGCCCTTTTTCTTGTCAATTGGCTCACTGAAGATAACCAGCTGCTCGAAGAGGAAGACCCGCCTCTCCCTGGGTCTGGACACGAGGCCCGTTTCCTGCTCACTGACGGAGAAGGGATCCTGGTGAAGCAGCTTCCCCTGAGCTGTGATTTTACCCTGAAACAACAGGTACAGTAGGTACGAACGCTGTCAGTGAAGCGAGCGACACCTGAAATAAATGTTAACCTCCGCGGGGAGAAAAAAAACCTCACCTCAAACCCTTGAAGTCTCCCCACATTCATCATATCGTTACAGCGTTTTGGCACGAAGCACATCACCTCCACCGCCCTCTGTGATGAGAGGACAAATGGAAATGTTTTTATACAGCAAATCTCCAAATGTTATTTTCTTTGTAACTGACTTCACATGTTGATGAAGTACCTGCAGCTCCTCCACGTCTCTTCCTGCTCGACTGTAGTACTTGAGAAAGTCCTGAGGGTAAAGGTCGCACAGTGACGAATATAAGTTTGGTTTTTTTAATCCTTCAATTCTTCAAAGAAAAAATTAAAAAAGACTTTTACATTTAATTTAACTAATAAAACACTTAGAGTTTACAAATAAGGTTTTGAAACCCTTGGTGTTTTCATATTGTAAAAACCGGTAGATCAGAGGTTGCAAACTCAACAAATAATAATTTAATTTTAATCTTGAGCGAAAAAAAAAAAAGTAAAATATTTGGATTAATCTGTACAGTAGATTTTACTCTATATAACTCATGTACATTTAAGTCAATGCAATAATTAGAATGCTTAAATCACCTAAGATGTTTATACTTTCCTATTTTCAGATCTAGTTTGCCAAACGTATGGCCCGTGGTTCAAAAAACGACCGGCTTAGAGGTTCAATCTGGTCCGTTTTATGAATTTTTAAAGTAAAAAAAAAAAATTATGACGCATCAGTGACAATGTAAAAACCGTCCAAAAGAATCCAAACCACCTTCAGCAGAAGTTGATACTTCATGATCCTTTGAACAGGTTTGATGAGCAGGTCGTTGAGCTGCAGCCTGTGGCCCAGCTGCTGCCTGAGGTCCTGCCAGGACAGAGGGGAAAATCAAATATCCAAACTGGGAAAATGTGGCAGGAATAATGTGATGTAGTATAAATGTTTACTCACCTCAAAGTAGGTGTCAATGTACTCCGACACCACGTGCTCCGACTTGGGTTTGTTCTGACAGTAAACCACGTACATGTGAAGACGCCGTTCCTGGAAATTTGATACAAAGCCGCAGCAAATGTGTGAATCGATCACACATTTGAGTGACATTTAGTTTAATCACTGTAGCAGAGACTCAGACGCAGGTGAAATTAAATATAAAAAGTTTATTTGTATTTCAGTGTTTGGCTTTAAAGTTTGTAACCAGTAAAAACTAGAAACTTCCAAAGAGTAAATATATCTCTTACTTATTTTATTATTTATTTGATTTGCTGACAGGCAGCTGGAGAGTCAGCTAATAGCGTAGCATGATAGACAAATAAATGTTTTACTTTTGTAAATATCTTGTTAAAGCTCTTAAATATTTGCTGTGTACTTTTGTAGTACATTTCTCTACAGTGAGTTTGTTTTAGGGCCGTCCCCAACCTGTTTTTTTTATCTGCAGCTTCACCTGCCGACCCCTGACCTCAAGACAATTGGGAGACTAAATAAATAAATAAAATCTGACCTCAAGACCATGGGGAGACAAAACAAAAAAAGAAAGAAAAAAAATCTGAACTTCTTGTTACTTTGTGCAGACTCACATGTTTGATAAAGAGTTGGGCGAGGCTTTCTGGATCACACACACATTTCTCCAGCTCTCCCAGGAAGTAACTGCGTGACACAAGGCAGAAAAAAACAACACACCAGAATAGTCATTCGACCAAATGATTTAGGATATGACACACACATCCTAAATCAAAGTTGAGGTGAGAAAAACCACAGCCGTGTCTGTGACTCACTCTTTGTGCCAGTCGTAGATCTGGTGAATGTTTCCAAACACGATCCTGTCCTTCCCTTTCATGTCCTCTGGAACTCCCTGGTTGGTCATGGTGGCCATGTAGCCCTGCACACGACAAACAACGAAAAATCCTGACTCTTCTGTTTTCTATATAAATGTCACGGAAAGACTCTGTGGGCAGCGACACACCTGCACGATGAGTCCAAGATCTTCCACGTACAACTGCTCTGTCTCGATGAGTTCAGTCAGAACATATCTGGGAAAGAAGGAGATTAAAGAACAACATCATCAAAACAAAGTATTAAAATAACTGATTATTAAAATTAATAAAATGAGCTGCAATGCTGCCATCTAGTGGCTCCCGCCTACACATACAGCTGTTTTTCCCCAAAACTTTTTTTTTATGTAACACATCATTTGGTGAAACCCGGGCAATGTGTTATCAGGTTTTCATTATTGGAGGAAAAACTGATAACAATTGTTACAGATTTGACATAATTCTGCTAATATCGTCCGATCAACGATAATATATCGTTGCTCGATATTATCAGAGATCCCTAATAAAAGGGTATGTGAAAATGATTTATAATATAGTCAAATATTTTCTCAATGAATTTTCCCAATTTACTTGTCAATCACACACACTTATTGCTTATTGCGTTGCCTTCCACTTTCCACCTTCAGTTTCCCTCTAAATGTGATCATAAGATTCACATCAGCGAGAACAGGAACTGTCCAGGAAATTATTTCAAAAAAAAAAAAAAAAACTAGGTGTTTTTACAAGTGATGAATAATTGATTTGGTTGACTTTGGAGGGAGATTTTCCAACTGTTATTCCACTGATGTTGAACTGAGTGATCCTGAGTGTTTTTCCACGCGTCCCCCTCGTCTCTTCAGGGGAGGTGGGCACCTACATGCTCTTCTCTAAGGCAGCGTTCCTCTCCTCCTCGCTGTCTGCGGTGGCAGACCACTGGCTTCCTGAGTCATCAGTCACACTGCAGCCGTCTTCCCCTTGGAGCGTGTTGATGCTGGATTTGTGACTCTGAAACACACGAGGAGGACGTTTCAGCGTCCAGCTGGGAGGAACTTTACCGGCACTGACTGAAAGAACACTTTCCACACATTAAGAATTCACTCCAAGCCCATGTTTGTTCAGTGACAGGCGGAGATTTCACGAGTGCATCGAGTCTGATTAGCGTTAGCTAAACATAGTCTTTATTTTAAACCACAGTTTGAGAGCAGGTGGTGCTGTATACCTTCTAAAAACATTTTAATTTGTAGTATTGTATTTAAATGATCTTTTTAAACCAGTTTGAGCCTCTTGAGCACGTGTGTCAAACTCAAGGTTTGGGGGCCAATTGCAGCCCGCCAAATAATAACATAATTCTGTATGTAATCGATCAATCAATCAAAATTATTTTCACACTGACAGTCACTAGAGGGCGCTCTAGGCTTGTGTAGCAGTATCTGCTACTCCTGTAACACTGAAAATTTACACGTTAGTTATTTTCACACTGAGAGCCTCTAGAAGGCACTGTTGCGACTTATACTCTGGAGCAACTTACTGTATATATGTTTTTTTCTTTTTCATTTTGCCTTTTTTTTGCTTGGGGGGCTTT